CCCAGGTGCATGGCTTCGGAGGAGGGGCCCCGGCCCGTGTACAGGTAGAAGGGCTTCTTGTTCTCGTAGGCATCCAAGACTTGATTCATATCTCTAGAAGGCAACGGAGCAGCGTTCGCAGTGTGATTTCCACCCCAAACCACCGAGGCATTAGTGCTTCATCTGCCCCTGGTCTGCTTGTCAGGTGCCGTGGGGTCGGCTCCGACAGAACCCGGGCCTGTGCCCTCTGGGGGGCCGGCCACATGGGTCACGTGCCAGGCTGCTCCATCCACTCTGACACACCCAGGGCAGCCAGTTACCGCTGGGTCGGAAATGAGGAACACACACCAAGACCCCGCAAGGACAGCAGCCTGTCGCCTTGGGCCTTTCCGATGCCAGAGAGGCAGAACCCTCGGACTGAAATGCTTCTCCAGGGGCTGCTTGCAAAGAGCTCGGTGGCATAGTGATGAGGTGACTGGCTGCCAACTGAAAGGTCAGCAGTTCGAACCCCCCAGCTGCTCCTTGGGAGAACGATGGGGCAGTCGTGGAAACCATGTGGCTGTTCTACCCTGTCCTCTATGGTCACCTAGGCTTGGACCGTCCGTCCAGATGGCAATGAGGTTCGTGGGACATGGCTTTTTAAACAGATATGACACGTGTGCTTGAAGTGCGATGTTCAAAAGATGGGCTCGAACTCTTTCCAGATCTTCTTAAACTCAAAGCGCCTCCTGCTTTTCCTCTTTCGGGGGCAAGACCAGCCAGCCGGCTCTGTCCCGTGGCTCAGGACATGGCCTGGATCAAGGGAGGGAGGGCGTCTCCCCACCCCACCACTCTACGCTGCTGCCGAGTCTCTGGGCAAAGCAGGAGGTCTGGGTAAGAGGATCCCAAGGGCAGTGTCCTGAACGTGACTTCTCATTCTGCACGCAGGGCATGCTGCCGCCGCCGCTGCTCAGTATTATTTCTGGTGGTGCCTGTAGTGCTCAGCTGCGAACCCGAGAGGTTGGTGGTTTGAGCCCACCAGCTGTTTTGAGGGAGCAAGATGAGGCCACCTGCTACCATGCAGATTTCAGTCTTTGGGGGCAGTTCTACTCTGCCCTAGAGGCTTGCTAGGAATCGGAACCAACCCTAAGGCAATGGCGTTGGCCTTTAATAGACACCATGTTTTCTTTGTGTGGTTTGTGCGTGTTTACTTTGGACATTTCCCCCGTGACATGATTACATTCTACTTTTGGGATTTCGAAAGAGTAACACAGCTCAATTTTGGAAGCAGACGCCTTCCTTGTTGCTCCCGTCCAATCACAAGTCAGACTCTGGGACAGAGGCAGCAGCTGCCACAGGAGGACATGCCGTCACATGCAGGGACGCTGGGGCCCGGGTCCTGAGGCGCCAACGGTTTCTAGTGGGAACTCACGGCTGTGAGGAAGCCCCGCACTTCCTGCTCCACAGTCCCTGCTGTCCAGCCCATTCGACCGCGCAGTCCCCCTGCCTGGCTGAGGATCCTCCTCGGGCTGCTAACTCACTGCTGTCATCGAGTCCTAACTCCTGGTGACCCTGAAGGATAGGGTACAGCGGCCCTGTGGACCCCGAGACTAATCCTTTATGGGAGATCGCCTTGTCCACAGGAGCACGCTGTCACATCTTTCTCCTGAGAAGCAGCTGGTGGGTTTGAACCACAGACCTTCTGGTTACCAGCTGAGCACTTCGCCGCTGTGCCACCGCGGCTGCTTCGACAAGTTAATTCCTCAGTGATGACTGCGGAGCTAAGGGGGCTGTTGCAGCTGCTAAGGAAAACAGTTTGGCAGTTCCTCAAAAAACTAAGCACAGAACTGCCACCTGAGCCATCACTTCCACTCCTAGTGGGACACTGGCGAGGATGGACATGTCTGCCTTTGTACTCAGATGCTCCTCGTGGTGCGACTCGCCGGGATACCCCTGGCCATCACGTGACACACGAATAAACAAAATGTACTCTGCCCACCATAAACAGGCATGAAGCTCCGACACAGGCTACCACATGGAGGATCCTGGAGAACGTGCCGGGGAAGAAGCTGGACATGGAAGACCACGTCGGGTGTGATCCCAGGAACATGAAGTGCTCAGAGCCGGGAATGCCCGCAGACAGAAAGGCCCTGGGTGGCTGCCAGGGTGCAGCAGGGGAGGAGGAAGCAGCGGGGCTTCTTTGTGGGGTGATGAAGGTCAGACAACGGTGGTGGGTGGACACGGCCTTGTGAATACTGGCCAAGTGTATTCCATCTCGAGTGAGAAGTCACTGGGTGGGGCACGGAGGGGCCCTCATGCAGACTGGGAAGGGCTCCTTCCCTGCTGCTCTCCTGCTCGTGGAGTGAGACAGGCACAGACTGAGCGACCGCGGACCATAAATTCAGTGAGCCTGGCCCTGGGCTGTTCACCTGTGAGGTGGGAACAGGCAGCAGGGACTTTCAGGAGCTCTGCTTATTTTCTGATGCGGTGACATGGACTTATGGCCAAAGGCAGGAACATTCTGCTATGTGCACGCCTTTAGTTTCTCTTTTGAGGTGACTCATGTCGCTCAGCACAATAGGAGGAAGGTGGCATACGATTTCAGGAAGCCAACTGTTTACTCTGCGGGAAAGGCTGAACTTGCCCTGCAATCACTGTGCTCCCTTTCAGTTGATGACATTCTACAATTTACAGCATGCAGTTCTATAGCTTCACCTTTATCAGTTCTATATCATCTGCCATGAACTTGACCCTCGCCGTGAGATGGGAAGTTTACAAATGAATAAATAAGGCCAGAGGGTGAGGAGACAGGCATGGTTCCACGTTGTGTCGTTGACAACACAGGAGATGGAGCCTGGTTTCCGACAACTGCCACCAAATTTCTCACAGGATTAGGGGGCCGCAGAGAAGGGCCTCCAGGAATGTTTGCACTAACGGGTCAGGGTGCTGAGGAAGGAGGACGGGTTGCAGGGAGAGTTGCGCGGGGTGCAGGAGGAGGTGAGAAGGATGGGGAAGCTGGTGAGGAGAGGCCTGGGAGGAGCTGAGCGAGGTGTGCGCATTAAGGGGACGTGTGGGCCGAGGGCTGACCTGTGTGAGAAGAAGATGCCTCTGCGCAGGAAGCGGTGGGCCTTCTGGCCGATGGCTCGCTCGATGCGGTTTATCAGCTCAGTGTCAATTTTGCTGCTTCCGAATCGGACTGGGGGGAAAAAAAGAAAGGAAAATAGAAGAGATGATTTTTGTAGGACTTGACATGTGGTGACCAAATCCTACTGAAACAGGAGAGAAACACTAGTGCCCCAGACACAATGTGCACCAACCTGACTCATATTACGGGACCCTCCCCGACACAAACAAAACGCAGCTTCCACGGGGGCAGTGCTGACAGCACCGCCAGCTAGCCAGAAAAAATGGGGGGCACCTGGGTTGATTCTGGTAGAGAAAGTGCCCAGAAAGTTGTCTATATACAGTCTAGGCTAGATGTTGGAGAAAACACACATACACACACGTTTATAAGCTATAATTTATCCACACTGACATCCATAATTTTTAATGCTTCCATTGCTGAATTGAACTTATCTCTGTATCGAAATGAATTTTCTCTCATGGAAGCGCAAACTTCAATCGTGGGAAATGGCTATGACGAAGGTAGTAATATTTGAGTTTTGCTTCTTCCTCAACGGCACTGACTGTTTCAGGCAATGGGCTTTTCAGTAGCTTGGAGGACAAAGGCGTGCCCTCCTCGCTCTTTTGAAGCTGATGTCAGCCTTTCGTTCTAGAATCAGCACTGGTGGAAACGCGCTAAGCGATCTCTGACGACTCGTAATGGATAAATCAGAGACAATTTTAAGTTCCTGGAAGGACAACTAGGTTCAGAAACCTTTCACAAGTTCAGGATGACTCACGGGATGCCAGCAGTCCACTAAAACCAAAGCAGACCAAAGCCACTGCTTTCTGGCTCACAGCACCCATGTTCCAGGGTGGTGCATGCCTCTCTGGTCTCAAGGTCAGCAGGTCTAACCCACCAGTTCCATGGGAGAAAGATGAGACTCAAGAGTCCCGGCCTTGGAAACTCGTAAGGGCAGTGGAGTCGCTATGGGCTGGACTTGACTCAGTGGCAGGGAGTCTGTGCTCTCAGAGCTTCTGAGAGCAGCCAGCCTCGTCTTTCTCCAGCGGAGCAGCTGGCAAGTGGGAACTACCAACCTCGGGGTTCGCACCCCGCTAGACCCGCATGGAGAACTAAGTTTTGATTGTGACTTTATTTTTTGAAACAGTCATCGGGGCATCTCTGGATCTCCTTTTCCCTCTAGGCATTGCAGCTGAAGCAGAACTAGTCCAAGCACTGACTGAGCCAACGCGAGGGACTCGTGTCTCCAGGGGAGGAAGGGGTGACGCACCGATGAGCTTGTCGTAGTCAATGCCCTTCGCGCTGCTGGTCTGCACCATCCACGGGTCCACAAAGTCCTCCTCGGGCCCCGCG